CGGGGGGGGCGGAGAGCGCAGCGCCCCCCCGCGGCCCCGGGCCGGTACCGCGCCGCCCCGCACCGCCTCCTCCTGGCCGGGCCCGGCAGCGCAGCCGCCTTCGTGCGCGACGCGGCCCGTTCACGCCGTTACTCCGGGGAAACGTTTATTGTTTCTCATTACGTTACCGAGCGGTTTTTAAAATGGATTTTTGCCCTTCTGCGAAGAAAATAAAAAGAAATAAAAACGAAATCAATGAATAAAAATCACACTCGTCTGCGAGCGGCTGCTTTGCGCCTCACAAAGATCCACTTAAACCCAGGGGTTTATTGCAGATTTCCACCGTGTGAGGGCTCGACGTGACCCTCGCCACGGCCTAAGGGCCAGAGCGTGTTCACCCTGTGCCCTGGATTTGCCCTGGCTCCATAAATCCTCTTTTTTCCACACATAAAAAAATAAAAAATAAGTAGATAGAGCCTGTCTCTGGCAACCTGAGGAAGTTATCTATGGGGTGCGTGTGGAGGACGAGACATCTAAAGCAGGTAGACGGTGACTCCAGGGGACGAGCAGAGCCCTTTTCCCAGGTCGGTTTCTGAAGAGCCATCACCGTGTTCTGAGAGGATCTTGTGTCACCAACACTCACTTTTTCCATCAAGGCTTTGGACATTGCCCGTGTCCCCCAGCCCCAGCTCCCCCATCTCCTCACAGACCCCCCGCTCCCTTGTCCCCCAGCTCCCCTGTCACACAGGATCCCAGAACAGCTGAGGTTGGCAGGGACCTCTAGGGATCATCCAGTCCAGCCCCTGCTCCAGCAGGGACACCCAGAGCAGGGGCACAGGGCGGCATCCAGGCGGGTTGGAGATCTCCAGAGAAGGAGCCTCCACAGCCTCTCTGAGCAGCCTCACACCTGATCACCATCACCCCAAAGCTAATGTTTAGTCTGGAGAAGACTGAGCAGGAGACTGAGAGGAGATCTGATCAACATATACAAGTACCTGAGGGGAGAGTGTAAGGAGGGTGCGGCCAGGCTCTTCTCGGTGGTGGCCAGTGAGAGGACAAGGAGTACCAGGTACAAGTTGAAATACAGGAAGTCTCATCTCTAGAGTCCAGTTGGAGGCCTGTAGCTAGTGGGGTCCCCAAGGGGTCAGTCCTTGGTCCAGTCCTGTTCGATTTATTCATCAATGACCTGGATGAAGGCACAGAGTGCTCCCTCACCAAGTTTGCTAATGATACCAAACTGGGAGGAG